CCCAAGATAGTGGACATTGCTGCTGCTTTGATAGAGATGCATGGGGACATCTGAGGCTCTTCATTGGACATGACAACAACAACAACGATACATTATGTCCATTCCCCTAGTAGAAACCTTTACTAGTGATGGTGAAGAATAAGCTTTAACACCATTCTTCATCCTCACTAGTAAAGTCTTTCACTAGGCTGATGAACATAATGTATCGTTCTGACTCACAATTAAAGGGAGATGTGCCTATCTAAGTACATATTTCAAAAGAATCATACGCGTGTGTAATATTTCGAATTTTCATAACAGATGGCGCGCTAGTGCATCATAATATAATTATTCTAATAAAATACTCAATTTGATGTCTGAGAAAGATCGATTGCTCGAAGCATATTATATATTTATAATTGTATGTATTGCTACTGGCCTCAGAGTTTATGTCCATAGTTCTTCTAAAATACCCATTCCAAGAGTCTGGCATCAGTATCACTATAAAAGGAAGATCTAAAATGTAATATGTTAGCATGTAGAAGGCGGAATAAATTGTTACTAAAATGTAATATAACAGCGGTATGGTAGATTAAACTGGTGAAACCGCTGATAGGGTTTACCACTGATGAGCCAGGCCTTCCCATTAACTTTTCCATTGCAGTAAGGGCAGTAGAAAGTTTTTTTTTTAATTTTAAAAGAATCAAACGCGTATATAATAGTTTCGTATTCTCATAAGTACATATTTACATATTAGGTTATTGCCAAGACTTGAGCAAGTACTCCCTTCACGACGAAAGGAGCTGTTTGTTGGTGGGGTGTATGCGCCCTGTCCGTTGTTTGACTCAACATTCTATTGTAACAACACACTGCCTTCAGGTATAAGTTCCTTGCTTTATTTAAACGATCTCTGAAACTCCAGGAACTCCTGCAGAAGGGTTTACAATACCCGAAAGCTTGAGAGATCGTTTAAAAAAGGTAGAAACTTATCTTCGGAAAGAGTGTGTTGTTACAATTTATATTTCAAAGGATTCTATCTTCTAACATTCTATCCAGAAATGACATGGAAAATTGGAGATTTTCCGACTGTATAATTAAAACCATTATGCTAAAGATAGAGGTTGTGCCTGGCTGGCATTCATAGTTCTTCAAATCAAAAATACTTCGATCAGTAAATCTTTCTATTATCTCGACGTTTGGACAAAATCTTTTGTCCTCATCAGGAGCGAATAAAAAATAAAATAATTGGCAAAGCGTTAAAATTATGAAAAAGGCATATCCTTATCGTGCAACAGATGCCTTTTTCATAATTTATGCACTTTATCCCAGTACAATATCATATTTGTACTATTTTTTCACAAAGAGTTAAAAGTTATTGAAAAGAATAATTTTTAACGGTTTGCCAAATGTTTTATTTTTGTTCGCTTCTGACGAGGACAAAAGATTTTTGTTGAAAGGTCGAGATAATAAAAAGATTTACTGGCCCAAAGTATCTTTAATTTGAAGAACATTATGCTAAATTTTCACAATATCGCATATGTCTATATATTCTAGCTGATTCATTCTAATAATAGTAATCAATGTTGTCACATGCACCACGACTTATAATCCAAGTTAATTAACTCTATAAACATGTTATTACACAAATCTGAAGCAAATGTGGAAAGTGCTCTTAATTATTGAAGATATTGTAATATAGCTAATTGCCTATTACGAAATGCTTAAGGATAATGAAACACAATTTCGTTTCAAACTGAGAATTCAATCGTACAATTAATTTTAAATAGAGAAATATATACTTTTGTTGTAACTAATCTTTCAAATTTTGTTGTTGTTGTCGTGTCCAATGAGGAGCCTCAGATGTCTCCATGCATCTCTATCACAGCAGTTTCAATGCTCATCTAATATTTGCAATTTTGTTGTTGTTTTCGTGTCCAATGAGGAGCCTTAGATGTCTCCATGCATCTCTATCACAGCAGTTGCAATGTCTTATATCTAACATTCCAATTTTGTTGTTGTTGTCGTGTCCAATGAGGAGCCTCAGATGTCTCCATGCATCTATATCACAGCAGTTGCAATGTCTTATATCTAATCATTACAATTTTATTGTTGTCGTGTCCAATGAAGAGCCTCAGATGTCTCCATGCATTTCTATCACAGCAGTTTTAATGTCCTCTATCTTGGATTGTAAAAAGAGTGAAATAGTTTTATATTTGGTCAAAAAAGATCAATTTTTTTCATGGAATTAGATTTTATGATGGCCTAATATCAAAACCGCTATATCCTTTTAAAACGGAAATTTTGTACAAAAGCTTTTGGCATATTAATAGTTTGTAATCAGGCGATGTTTTATTCGTTTATTTATGTTCTCCTGTAGAAGAGCCTACACGGCCAGAGATAGCCGAAAGCTTGAGACTGCTTTAATAAAGTAAAAATAATATCCAGTTAAACCTGTCTATAACGCCCCCTATAAATAGCGCCTTCCTCTCTATAGCGCCCGATTTTAAATACGTAGTACGATGCGATTTACATTAAAAGTGACAAGTCTATAGCACTCCCTCTCTATAACACCCTATTTTGGTGAGTCCCAAGAGGGGGCGCTATAGACAGGTTTAAATGTATATAAGCGGAAAGACATTGAATATAAGGATTTTTTAAAGAGATACCAAGATACCAGAGTAAAGTGCCTTGTGGCAGGCGCCAAAAACAGCATTCCTGTGTGGGGGAGGACAGAGTTTGGTTACATCTGTGGCAAGGAGAAGACGTGGCGACTTGCTTCCGGGCGTGTGGATGATCCTACAAGGCGGTGCCAGGAGAGCCTGATATCGGAGCGACCTACAAGGCGGTGTGGGCCAGGCTGCATGTATATAGTGTGGAGAGGCGCCAAGGATTCTTCTGACGGGGAGGTCGAAGACAAGCCTCACTGTTGTATTCCTTCTGTTAATTGAGATACAATAAACTGCTAAATTTAGCTGCAATCCCTTCGAACTCACATGTGTATCTTTGTGGCATACTGTTTAGAAAAAGTACATGAATAGCGTCTGGGTACGACGTAACAATATATATAAAGTCTTCATTGGTGACGCCCACCGCGGGAAAGACTCCACCACCGATGGACTGCCAGAGTTCTTTCCCACAGAGCGGACAGGTCGATGTGATGGCTGGTGTTACTCACCTCAATACCAAGATGGTACTTGTAGATGTAAGAAAGAACAAGAATGCTGCCATTCAAGATTTGAATTAAGAATAAATAGACTAACATTTTCTGACTACAGATTAAACCTCTTATAGTACTTGTTAATGCCCCTTTTTGCTAAGAAATGGAAACTCGTACATATACTGATCGATTCCCCAGCATTTCTAGATTATAGAATGAAGAATGAACTAGTTGTTTGTGAACTTAACGATTTGATTTCCAATAAAAAATCCTATTTAAAGATCAATTCATTTTGTAAATACATTCTAAACTTTCTACAAAATCCTTATCTCTAATGTTTTCATGCGTTGAATAATGTAAATAACTTATGTAAATAAACTTTTCTCCTTGTTTGGCGCAAGTATCCCTTGCGGGATATAGCGCTTTGGAAATAAAATAATTGTAATTGTAAACGGGTACATTTCTTACGTTATATACCAACTCCAAAGACCTCCCTATTGAGTTGAGAAAAAAAAAATCTTCATAGTTTTTTTTATATATTATTATCCGTAGTACACGACTTTACAGAAGTGAGACATCGTTTTTTCCCTGATTTAAATAATCTAGCTTATTTACCTCAGCCACTTTGTCTATATAAATTTTATGAACTTTGTCGAATAATACATGTCAATTTGTAAATATTTAATTCTAAGTTTTAATTTGTTTGTTGTTTTTTTTCTCTCTTTATTAGGCGCAAATATTTCAATATCGCGCCTGGTTGATTAATAAGAAAAAAAAACACTAGTACACGTAGTAAATGATGGGTAAATGATAATCATGGTAGGAATTAAAAATAAAATCCCTATTACACGTGGTACAGTCCATGATAATCATGGAAGGTAAGAAGAATCTTTATAGTACAAATAAACACCAGAACAATTCGAAAAATTCATTAATTTTTGTATTAATATCTTTCATACATCAATAGTTCTAATAACATTTTTTTTATTAATTTGAAAATGAGAAAAATAATACGTAAAATAATTAGTTATTTGACTATTCGATTACTTAAGTTAATAAGAAAAATGTAAATTTGAAAAAAAAAAACCGTAATTATGTTAAACAAATAGAGAAAATGAAATATTTTTGTGGTTTCAAATAATTAGTTCTGTAAAAATCATTATGCTTAATTGATTAACTTGTGTATTTCTGTTTTTTTTTTTCGAAAATGTATATGTACCGTTCCCACCTGATCATGTACAATATCACTTATGTTCTATTTTTGTTACGGGACTCTAATATGAATAAGGTATTAAACGCGCGGTATGCACAATCTTCTAATTCCTATCTAAATTTGAAAATAAAAACTAAAAATGAATATAAACTATTTTCTAGATTACAAAGAAACACTTTCTAATAAATTTTATCAAAAATCGATTGAAGACTCTAGCTGTCATTGTGGCAATGAATTCCATGATTCGAGACACCTACTGCTGGAATGTCCACTCTTCTTTATCGCTAGACAACAGACAATAAATAATGTTGTAGATCTATATCAATTTGTAAATAGCAGAGAGAATTATCATAGATTTAATTATTTTTGTAAATATATTTATCTTTCTATCCTGATTAGTGCATCATCTGTTATAAGAAATTGAACAATTCGGACGCTTATGAATATTTTAAAATTTAAACAATTTTCTACTATAATACACTGCGGCTTGTGATTGTAAAACGACACTTGAAGTTACACCGCATGAGTTTCTTTTTTAAACGAAAAATCAAATTTTTATCTCAAGGTGAAATATCGACTATTTCTAACCTTTTTTGGATGAGGTATGAAAGCATGAATTATGAAAAGTAATGATGAACGGAAAAATAAAAGTTACCGGGCAGATGGGAATCGAACCCACAATGTTCCGCTTACCGGGCAGATGCCATGTCCACTAGGCTACCCTGGACGTATTTTTCCGTTCATCATTACTTTTTATAAATCATGCTTTCATACATCATCCAAAAAAAAGGTTAGAAATAGTCGATATTTTACCTTGAGATAAAAATTTGATTTTTCGTTTAAAAAAGAAACTCATGCGGTGTAACTTCAAGTGTCGTTTTATAATTTTCTACTGTATTTACTACAATGTTAAATTAATAGGGGGGCCTGGCTCATCAACTAGGAGGGTTCTTCACTGATGAGCTATGCCCACCCATTAATTTATCATTACAATAAGGGCAATAGAATTTTTTTTTTTCATATCTAAATTTGAATATCAAGATTAAGAAATTGAAACTATTCTAGACGCGTAGGATTCTTGTAGAAATCAAACAATTTTCTACTGCCCTTATTGGAATAATAAATTAATGGGAGAGCCTGGCTTATTAGTGGAGAACCCTTCCAGCTGATGAACCAGGCCCTCTCATTAACATATCAGTAAAGGAAGTAGAATTGTAGTTTAAACTTGCGAAACCGCTGGGAGGGTTCTCCATTGATGAGCCAACTCTCTCATTAATTTAATCATTGCAGTAAAGGCAGTAGAAAATTGTTTAATTTTAAAAGAATCATACGAGTCTAAAATAGTTTTAATTTATTTTTAATATGTATTGAATACAGATATAAATATTCTATAAAGAGATATCAAAATTACTAATATAAATATATTTATTTTGAACTCGCATTTACAGTAGAACCTCCCTGTAAAGGACACCTAATTTTAAAGCCAAACTGTCCTTTAGGAATAGATATCTTCTTTATGGAGAGTTGCTAAATAATAAAAGCGGTAATTTTGCAAATGAAAACTGTCCTTTATAGAGAGGTGTCCGCTAAAAGGAGGTTCTACTGTATTAATATTCATTTTTATCGATAGATTTCGCTATAAGATAACAACTTCGACACAAAAATGGAAATTTAAAATGTTCTTAATATACCCGACTTTTAACACACATTCCAGAACTTCACACTAACTATTACTGATAGCTAGAGGTCCTGTCGCAAATTTCCAGAGACATTTATAATTGAATTGGAATCATCTCCTCCCTGCGATTATAATTGGATCTAATGAGGGGCGACATCATTAATGAGGTAGCTAAATGCAATTAGATTTTAGGTAAATTTGATTCTCAAATCCTTTTACCAATATAGTGGGATCCATTTTATTGAGATATGGTTATACCTTGGCATATTTCTAGTTATTCTTATTTGCATTACCTGAAAAAAATACGGTTCACATTATTTTGGCTTATTGAATTAATTCGGTTAGATCTTTAATTGATTTTATTTATACCAGCTGTCGGAAAACAGTGATGTAAATAACTGTCCTTTATAGAGAGGTGTCCGCTAAAAGGAGGTTCTACTGTATTAGTATTTATTTTTGTATATAGATGTCGCTATAAGATAACAACTTCGACACAAAAATGGAAATTTAAAATGTTCCTAATATAATCCGACTTTGAACACACACCCTAGAACTTTTGTGATAAAGAAAACAATTATGTAAATTTATTTCTATGTTTAATCAATATACAGTAGAACCTCTCTCTGTAAAGGACACCTAATTGTAGAGCCAAAGTGTCCTTTAGGGAAAGGTGTCCTCATACCGGAAAGTTGCTAAATTGTAAAAATGGTAATTTTGAAAATGAAAACTGTCCTTTGTAGAGAGGTGTCCTCTAGCGGGGTATCCACTAAAGGGAGGTTCTACAGTAAGTGTCTTCTCTCTTCTTTCTTATCTCCACTCCATCATATTAGGGTATCAGGTTGTGACCCTTGATGGTGTTTGTTTGACAACCATCATGACTGGGTGAAGAAGAATGCATTTTCCTTTTGTTATTAAAACTGGGAGCACTACTCAGTGGCAGGCCGACTTAGCTCCAACAATAATGGCCGCCTCTGACATGAGGAGCAGACGCCATGTGCAGCGACTCCTAACAAGAAGTACAGACTCATCCTGTATCCCTGGATCAGGAACCCTTACAGGGTACTATCAGCCAGGCCAGCTGAACCCAGGTTTTTTAGCGAGCTTGTTACTGCTCCCCCTCCTCCTTTTTCATTTAGGCTTGGGACCGGCAAAGGCGGAGTTACTGTGAGTGTAAATATGTTTTACTTTAAATATTGTATTTGATTCAAAATGGAGTGTGAGTGAGACAGTTAATGTTGAGTCGTCTTTGGTATTTAATCGACCTCAGTAACATTCAGGAGTAGAAAGAGTTTCCCTTATATAGAGAAAGGTCGGTGAACTTCTCCCGTGACCAGAAGTTATCGTTTAGGACGTCTAGTCCAAGGGTTGGTGAACTGCGGCTCGCTAGCCACATGCGGATCTTTGGATGTGAAGCTGCGACTCTTTATATAGTTCCATACGTAAATATTATTTATGCGAATGCTATTAAAACGATTTTTTTTGTGAATTGCTTTAAAAACTTTGAAATTTTGTAAATTGTAATTTTTGACTCTTACGACCCAAAAGTTTGCCGACCCCTGGTCTAGGTGAACGCCTTACGCGACACCAACCGAATCACACGACATCGCTCCGAGTGAAAGTTTTCCAAACGTATGGTATTCTTAAAATGTTATTCTAATATATACGTATCAGAGTCATCAACAATAAATTCTGTCATCGTTTGCTTTTGTGAATGGGATAAATATCCAAATATGGCCATTTATTATAAGCATCGGTGGTTCAGTGGTAGAATGCTCGCCTGCCACGCGGGCGGCCCGGGTTCGATTCCCGGCCGATGCATTTTTTTTTTTTTACAATTTTTAAAACTCATTTATATTATTATTAAAATATACAAGTATCAGAGTCATCAATTCTGTCATCGTTTGCTTTTGTGAATGTATGTAAATAATGGATTTCATATTTTTATTAATTTTTTGTTCTGGCCTTTATTTGTTTAAATCTCTTTTTAAAAATCGTTTAAAATGCAGTCGCAATCATTAGCGAACACATTTGTTTGCCTAATATTTCCATATGCTCTTTTATTTTTTGCAGAAAAATATTTACATGCCAGTATTTTGGATTAATTTTTTTTATAAACCTATTTTTTTTAAATTTCTTACTGAGAAGATGGGCATCGCAGTCAGGATTCTTTACAGTCAGTCACTCAACTCTGGCAATTTCAAAGGTTAATGGGGGTTTGGTGGAAAAGCTGCCATCTATTTAAACTATATTAATTTTGAAACAACTAAATGGATTGCAAAAAATAATTAAATCAAATACCTAAACACTAATATAATACAATTTTTGCCATCACACACTTTTTTCCTGTAGTTTATGTGTTTCTTCTGTATTGCTATTCTATGGCACTTCTACTATTTATTATTGATGTACTTTCAGTATGAAGGATACTTCACTCGGGGATTTCTCGGGCGTAGCCGGGTCATTCTTCTAGTTTATTATAATTATAAGAATAATAACAACAAAGCTTTTTGCGTGTACATATCGTCTTGCATATATTAATACCTAAGTCCAAAAAAAGAAAGAAAAAGAAAACAGTGGTTGAGAGTATCAAAAATTAACAAATAAAAAGTTATGTAGAAAATAAAAAAGGTTAATTGTTGTTATTAAAATCAAAAACGGAATATCCTGACCACGCTCACATGAATTTTCTAGATCGCAGAGCGTCATCTTGTGGAACAGAAATCAACTAAACGTTGATTTAACCTGTTCAATATGAAATTTGTCCGAGCAAGTTATATACAGTCGTTATAAAGAGAGACATATCACAAATACTGTGTTTAATAAATTATAAATATCATATTATAATGTTTGGTTTTAAATCCATATAAAATGAGTTAGGCAATAGGCGACATACGTAGCGGTTGTTCGAAAACAAAGGAAGTTGGCAGAAGATAAGGAAAGTTAGCATAAACAAAAAAAAATTGTAAGTTTTTAAAAGATATCATCTTTAGAATATATATTATCTTTCAATATTTTTTGTCTTGTGTGCGTAAGAAAATATATTTTTATATATAAAGATAAAATTCTTATTAATTCCTCAACTCTGGGATTTACCAAGACCAATCTGAATTTATAAGCTTAATTGTCTCTCTCTCTCTCTCCGAATTAAATCTTCTTCTATATAAATTTCATTATTAACATTGAATGTGAATATAGCGCTTTTAATTTTTTCTCTTCATTTGTAGAAACTCCGTGGTAAATCCATGTATACAAATTGTCTTACCCTCTCTCTCAGATTTAACTAGGCCATTGAGTTTAATTGTCGTAATTAAGTTTTTTCTGTCGGGGGTCGGTGGAAGGCTGGTTAAACCGTTTGGTTTTCGACCAATAGGACCCGGGTTCGATTCCCGCATTGGACACTTTTTTCTGTTTAAAGAAAAAAAAATGCTCCAATGGCCCACGGTTCTTGCAAAATTACAACACCACCAGCGAGTGCAAGTTACCAAACGGGGCTCTGGCATTAGTAAGTGCAAAGTCGAACTGCTTTTCACATGTGTAGACATGTGGTGCACTTACAGTAAAAGCAGTCGCTAACTACCCACCATGATTATCATGGCCTGTACCACGTATACTAGGGATAAGCAAAAAAAAGTTTTTCTGTATATAAATATCATTATTACCATTGAGTGGGATTAGGTTTTAAATTTGTATTCTTTTTATTTGCAGGCTCCATAATGATAGTGGTGTTTTGTCCTTCTCCGTGGAAAGAAAGATGCCATTGCCCCGTTAGCCAGCCACATTTCAGAGTTCCCTGTTCACGGTTACCGTAGCGGCTCGGGACTCACGACACCGTACTTCGCCCTACAGAGCAGTCCCTTACTTGCTTCTCCCGCCCGCCACGTAGAGGAGGATTTCTGGGCAGGAGACTCCATAGTAAACCCATTTATAAGACTATATATCTTTATAAAGGCTTTTTTTTTTTTTCATTCGCAAATCACCCCTGTTGATAACACACAGGTAGTGCTGATATTTTAGAAAATAAATATCACTCTTCAACAATCTTGAATTAT